TCCTACTTTCCACTATTCCTGTCTTCCTCAATATGTTCATACAAATGTGCAGCCAAAAGATAGCAACGAAACCTGGCGCACATGGTTATTGATTACAGAAACTGAAAACTGAAACTGACCATGATGCATCTTGCAGCTCACAGGAAAATCACTGCACGAAAACTACATTTTTGTGAACACTGATCACTGTTATACATCGGTTAAAGGGAGAAAAAGATAGAACAAAAAAGACGAAAGGCAATGAGTCTTTGTTATTCAATGAGACAGGTGCTTGCAGTTTGCAGGCTTAGTTATTCGTCATGTGTTGTGCATGTGAAGCGTGACGTATCGGTCGGTGTAACCTGGCACATGTAAATGCTCTCTTTTCAAAAGATGAACAAAAAAGATCAACGCGATATCTTTTATTGCAAAGGGATGAAGTAGACCGTGAAAGATTTTCTAACTGAATACTTGGAGAGGTGAGGAGAAATTCTGCGTAGCTCAACATTGTCCCATTAAATATGACGTTATTCGTGTACCCGCTTGTAATAAAACTCGAGGGGTATGACCAGCAGCGCATCGTGTTCAAACACGTTTCTGATTTCTAATTCAATGTCCGTTGGGTTTGAACAAGCCACTACGTGTGGGTCTCTTCTTCTCCTTATGAACGTGTCGCGCCAAAACCTGCTGTTTGTACACGATCGCAAAAATTGAGGAAGAATGGCAAAGTGAAACGAGGAATTGCATCAGGGAACATAATGGATGCACTACCATTGTGATATCCAACGCAAGAGGCTCATACTGAAATATCTGTATCCATAATAATTGTACATCAGAAAATGTTTTTCGAAAAAGCACTCAATAACACAAAATTAGCGACAAAAGAAAATGAAATGAGGCTGTCTGGAGAGATTCCGTTCGGATCTTAACCGTAAAGGTAGATAGCATTCATCTACCTAAGTAAACATACGTGCGAACTAGCTGAAGTTTTCATTATAACTGATACTGGAGGGTATTCAATCAAGCCCGGAATGATTAACAGATTTATTGAAGCGAGCACTTCGAACTGTACGAAAATGGTGCAACCAAACCGAATAGGTATGAATGCTATAGCCAGGTACGCCGTTCCGACAGTTTAAGAGAAATCGTGAAAGCGAAGAAGCTTACCGAGATTGTTCTTGTGAGGTGGATATGTTAGCAATCACACGACGCTTGACCAAACGCTTTTCTTGATCGATTGTGTGCCGAATGCGTCGGTATTGACGAGTCAATCCGTTCAGGAAACGAATCAGCGAATCGACCGAACTGATGATAAACATGTACGCGATTAGACAGGAAGCCTTAAACTTGCTCCAACAGCCTTCTTCACCTGGAATGAGACACGGCCGGAAGAGGTAACAGGAAATGTATATATTTAAACACTCGCTAAGAGAGATCAGCATTAAGAAGATTGAACGCTACAGATGGTAATCTTATCTTACGAATAAGCATAAACCAATGATGTAAACACTTGGAACAGAAAGCAGAAACACAAAACCTAAGTATTGATATGAAAATATATCACCGTAAGTAGAGAGCTAAAAAAGCAAAAGTGGCTGTAACTTTCGTACAATGTTCTTAGATGTTTCATATGAATCTATCATATGCTCTATCGGTTCCAGTGCTCCCCAATCACCCCGTGACACTGAGGTTGAAGCATCGGTGTGAAAACACTGAAAGTCCTGGTGCATCTACCGTTTTTGTGATCGGTAGTGCAGAACTCCTTTGTCTCAGTAAAGGGAATGTTAGTCAACATTACAGATAATTCAAGGTGTTGAACAACGAAAAAGCTTTCTGAACATCTGATGATATCTGACACGAAACACGGTTGAAAAAATGAGGTGACTACAGTCAGATGAATTTCACTCTCCGTGAGGAAATTGTGAAGCACTTCCGCAAGGAAAAATGTGACCTCAGTCCTACATTCTGAGCCGATATAATGCATGGCTTTCGTTGTTGCAAACACCAGAGACGGAGGACGCGTCAGCAAACGATAAGACTGTCTCAGTAGAAAATAGTTTAGGGGGACTGAAACAGTGCATCTGTGGAAGAAGTTTTCGTGTTTATCAACATGAAAAGGTCAGTTCAGGTTGATAAAATCGCTATAATAGACCAATCAAACTAATGCCTTACTCGCTTAGTTTTGCAATGACATTAAACATGGCTCTTTCGGCGTTTGAATGTGTAGAATTTCCGACAGCTACTTCACAAGAATACGATTTAGCAAACGAAAAATTGACATCGGAATTCAGGAAGAGATTAATCCAAGATATTTTGGTTCGAGCAGTCCAATTGATTGGGCAACGCAGCACAGACTGAAGAACTGGGTGAATTACTAAGCACGCATTCGACTTACGTTGGTGTCCGGAACTGTGCATGGCATCTATATTATCTTGAGATGAGCGTCGACTTTGGCTACCACCGGCGCCATCCATACCACCACCAGCTTCACCAACGCCGGATGTTGGGGCAGCGTTACCCGCTGTTCGGCCCCGATCGGAGAGTCGGCGACGAAGACTAAAACCTGATTCGCTGGGGCTGTCATCAGATTGACGCGAAAGTAATCTGGTCAAAGAGGAGCGTCGTTCAGNTAACAATTACAACGTCTTTTTCAGATGGCTTCTGTAGACGAACGGTGCGAGTGGGAGTTATTGAGAGAGTACGAGACGAATCTGGAACGGAAACATGTCGAAGCCCGGCATTAGGTGGAGATAGCGATTGAGATACTTGGGTGAGTTCTGTGCCCACTTTAGAATTGGCTGGAGCTGGCGGATCCAATGATTGATATCGACCACTTGCGGCGGCTGAGGCAGTCGCAGACATAGTATCCAAATGGCTAGATATTGTTGGCGGACTAGATTCAGCTGCCTCACGTGGATATCTTAGGCCTGGCGATACAGCATTGTTTCTCAAGATATTCCCGGTTCGACGACTATCTGTACGCGGAGTGCAGTGCTGGACTACAGCTTCGTCCACATCAGCATCGTCATCATCAAGGGAAGCCAAAGAAGCTAATTGTGCTCGTTTACGCCATGTCCGACCCGGTATGTTCGACTGGTTCAATTGTGAAACATTTGACTCGGAATTAAACACGGATGGAATGGTCGAAGCCGGGGTCGGACCTTCTTGAGTGATAGCGCTGTCACGTAATGGACGACCGGATGGTGAACGTACAATATGCTGCAACGACATATGCCGCGGTCCGACTGAGCCGGAATCAGGTCGATCCTCCAACAAAGCATGTGGATGACCAGCAAACGAACCGTGTTTCAGTTTAGGACGTAATTTCGACCTTGTGTAACCATCAGGCTACATAAAGAGGGAACAAGGAAGGTATAAATACAGGTTACAAGTATTAGCGGATAAACGGAAGTTTGGGGTTTGATAAACATAATCCTAAATCACATGTAAATTTAGTGAAATTGTCTATACTCCATCTTCAGTAAACACCACGACTTAGAAACGCCAACATAGCCCGACATGTTGAGTCGCTGTCCCAGAAAAAAAACTGATCAATTTGTGACCTAGGACGCAGTTCCATGGTTTTGTGAACAGCGAGCGATCTCAGATAGAGTTTTATTATTACGATCTGATTAGTTTTGAGATACCTAAACTACTCACGGGTTAGGTGCTACTTCTATGTCTGAGAGAAGTCAATTTCATTTAAGTAATCACTTGATACACCATAAATAAATAAATAAATAATTTCTAGGCCGCACCTCATGGTCAAAATCAACAATGTAATCTCACAAGCAAGAGGGCATAGCTTATCATTTCTGACGACATATGTAGGAAAATTATAACGCGCTTCAGTAGTTGACAGAATGGTTGAAAACGATTTCCAATCCTCAAATGTACAATCGAAGATAAAAGTGACGAATCGGCACTTTACCGTTGCAACTTGGACAAAAAGTTTTTTTATACTTTTCTCTGAGGACAACGGTGGGTTGTAACTCTCCCTTCCCCCCCCCACCACTATCACCACCAAAAAATGCCTTACTGATTCTTGAAACATTGGCTAGGGAAGTTCTGCAAACTTCCTTGTCGCGGAGACGCATTTAACTAAAATAAGAGGATGTCATAGTTGAGTCTACCTGGCAGTATTGTACCTACGAACAAATCAAAGATTGGATCCCATGGGCAAAACAATTTGTGGACCGTGATTTATATGACAGGCTGGATAAATAAACGTGAATAATAATGATATGAATCATAAATATAAACAATAATTTCGAGAACTTTGCTGAAAACCAATGTTTGAGCTGATCTTCAGTTAGGAGCCCAGTCACACATGTGCGCAACTAAAAAGAGCAAAACCAGATCAAGCACGTTCATGACACATACCACAAACTGAGGATCTTCATTTGAACCACTGGTTGGCTCTGCCGCGTGACGCGATCTCGAAAAGGAAGGCTGAGAAAGCATACTACGACGATAATGACGGACGGCAGAGCAAGCACCTAATTCCATTGCTCGATTAAGCAACTGTAGTGGATTCATTCGCGATGCGGAAGAGTTAACCGGATTGGCGTCATCTTCATCTTCGTCCTCTCCCTCTTCACTGTCCCAATCCGCGTCCTGACCAGCATCATCTTCGTCGGCCCGATCTAGACTAGAAACACGACTAGATAACTTCCCGCTGGACTGTTTAGTTGTCGTTACTGCAGCAGAGCAGAACGTTGGGTCATCCGGTGTGATGAGGGGCCTCTCCAGGGCATGTTTACTTGGCACGTCGGACCATGTACGATCGCCTTCAGCGGCTGCTGTGGGCAGTGAAGACTTACGACCGGGAATTTTGCACATTTCCAGAGCCTCAGCAGTGTCGGGTTTGGAACCGCTGGTCACCGAACTGGTTCCCGTGGGCTAACGCAAGTTGGCATAGCAGAACGGAGATAAGATAGCATTAAAGATAATGGAAGATAGTAGGACTTATCTATTTTTACTAAATACAACTTCTCAATGAACGG